CTTGGCAGCCGATTTCCAATGAATCAGTAGAACGTGATTATTCTGTACAACAAGAAATTTATGGAAACGTGATGACTTTGCACTTATGGCTGTCCCAAATTGAAAGAAGCTGAATCGCGATGGTCAAACCTGCCTAAAATGAGCGTGAATGTTTGACGTGCGTTGTTCAGAGATGCTTGTGAATTTCAACTTTGGGTAGGAAATCCAGGGAAAAAAGAGAACCTAATACAAAATATTGCCTCCTACCCGGATTGAACGAATGACCTTTGCATTGCAAAGCTACCACCAACGGCGCCTACAAGTGCAACGCTCTACCACTGAGCTAAAGAGGCTTGCACCTTCTTAGTTAAGGCAGGTATTTATTGTAAAAAAAACGATCCCTTAAGGTGAAAACCACAAAGCACATCACGTGTAACTGCATAAATGATGAAATCAATAGAAGGTCAATTCGGCAGCAAAGTCATTGACATCGTCACTGGTCAGAAGTATCCCCAATTCAAAATTGAATTATACAAAACACGTGCAGGTGCACGGGCTTGGACAAAGCTGGCCAAACATAACACAGCTACAAAAAAAATCTCGTCACTCACTTCTTCACTTGTTCCATCCATGTTTTGGAAAACAAGAGCCGTACGCCGTGACAAGTGTAGCGCGTCCGTGTGAGTTTTACCTTCTATTTCACTTCCATATCCATTCATGGATTGGAAATCTGATGACTTTATTCTCTTCCCCGTCCTACACGACTATGCCGAGAAATAGAGTATATCTGTTCGCAACAGATACGCGCCCTACGGGACGCACAGTGTACTTGCCAGTGCCTTTTTGTCTGATTATTTTCTCGCATTTCATTCAGCGATATACTAATCATGATCAAATCTTCCAGATGTCGTTTACTCGTTACGCGTTGTAATCTATTTTTTCTAATCGTAAACACTTTCCGTCCATCCTCAAACCATCGACGCGTCCACACTTCATGAAACATACCTATATTCGCAGTTTCCACTCTAGTGTCTTAGGAGTACTCCCTCAAGGCCGAACAATCATTCTCTCCCTCAGCTTTCGGACCCATGAAGGCTGAGAGTGCGGGCCGCTCTTGTGGTGCGAAAGTGCTAGGTGGGGGTCAACGCGATGCGAGTTGAAACTACCTTCCTTTGGATGTCTGACCCTTTGTGTGGATGCAAATGTACTCTATCAAGAACTCGTTACTTAGGTCTCTTCCAGCGCTCCTTGTCGTGCCTCACCTCTTGTAAGTATAAATGTGAATTTATTTGTGCCTTAGTATTGCTTGAATCCTCACCACAAGTCGCACACAAGCCTTTTGGAGGGGATGACGTGCCTTCTTATCTGCCAGTCTTGATGTGTGTATGATTGTGGTACTACTATTCTTGATGGAAACGATCTTGAAGGCTGACGCCTTAGCAGGTAGATGGGCGGGATAATAATTGGGCGGGATAATAATTGGTCGGAGATGGTCGCGGTGGAGCTCGGTTCGCTAGTCTTTGCACATGAATCTCAAACTGGGGTTTCGTCCCAGACTCGGACCGTGATCATTAGGTCCAACAACAAAGGTGTCGTGGGCACTCTCCGGAAGAGAATTCACGCCAGGCAGTTCTCCAGAGAATTAAGGATCTAGCG